GCAAGAACCAAAGCTACTCGCCTGTCTGTCAGGAGTCCCTTACGTGAAGCTGGTTTGCTAACCTGCACATCCTCTGGAAATGCATCAGAAATCAGAAAAGGTTGCTCCCATTCACAGTAAGACAGTGACATGGAGCAAAGTGAACACAGGCACCGAAGGAACACATCCATGGCTGATGAACAGAAGGGAGGCTTTGGACTGCAACAGCAATCCAGCAAGCGAAGCCTAGAATGTTGACTCAACAATGATAATTGTTATTTCCCCTCTGCGCCACGTACGATGTGATCAGACAGGCAGAGGGAGCTGAATTCATCCTCCGACAAACTGTGCTCACATCAGGCACTTTGCACCACACAAACATGGCCCCTGTGCGTTAGTTTGAAGTGGACCTCATTAGTACAAACAAGTGTTCTTCAAGAGTGACACTGAATTAGAAATTCCTTTAAGTATTCCTAGAGATAAACACCACACAGTATAACGGAAGACATCATAAGTAGTGACTTGATTCCCTTTGGTTTGTTTATTTATTTATTTGCTCATTTTGGAAGGGTCTGAAAGTCAAATTCAGCTTTGTCATCTGCTCATGCTGGGAGCTGTGCTGTTCTTCTGGAAAAGCCATGGAAATGCTGGTAATGAGGTGCCAAAATCAGCAAGCAATATTCACAATTTAAGGGCCAGTTCAAATATAAAGGCAGTTTGTATTTCTGCACCACAGGCGCTTCTGCAAAATCCTTGGGGAAGAGAGAAATATATTTGCTCCTTATTGGCTTGGCTAACATTAATTGCTAACACGTCAGAATGAACGACAGGCATTTTTCAAAGAGTAAAACAAATGGACAAAGTAAATAGAAAAGCGGGTGCTTTTTGTTTGTTTAATTTTGTATTTTTAATCACACTTGTCAGGTGTAGAACTGGAAGAACTCCTACAAAGACACTGTTTACTCAGACAATTGCAACTCCGTTCACTTAAACCATGGCCACGACATCTGAAGTTGAGCCAACCCATTTTAGCATTACATTAAACCCATTTACATTAAAAATGTACCAGGAACACGTGTGACCCACACACGTCTCGGCTTCAGGCAGCCTCCTCAGGCAGACTGCTTCAGCTCCTGGCAATCATCTATGTGCACCTCGAGAACACAAGCATAATGCTAACAGACAGAGAATGACTTCTGTTTGACAGATGAGGAAGCTCAGACACAACGATGTCTGGAAGCCACATTTTCAAAAGCATCCTCAAACTACAAGTGTCTCGAGCTCCAGGTCTCCAACCCAGAGTGGCTGATCTGCAGGAGGAGAGTGGAGCATCACTTTGTCTGAAGCCACTGGTGGCTGCAGGCTATTAGCACCTTTGAAAAACCTACTCTGGGTCGATAAATCTTACAGGGTTTATTTGAGGTCAAGGAGAGGGGCTGAGAGTGTCCCAGAACAAAACGTTTGTGTTTATCTAAGCAGTGACAGGAACAGCTGAGGCATCCAGAAGAGGCTACAGGGATATAGAACAGAGAGGAAAAGAAGGTCATCTCTGAACTTCTCCAGGCCCTTCAGGGGCCTCAGAGGAAATGTCTTGACTTCTCCTCCCAACTTTCCTTCCCCTTCCTCATCCCACCTCTATTCTTAGCAGCTTTGTCTGAGGGCTGGGAACGGAGCATGGTTTCTTAATTCCTCACTCCTATTACCTCATATTTTGACTCAGACCACTCAGGGTGGTGGCAGCGGTTTTAGCCTTGCATGGAGCTGGTTTTGTTTATACAAAGACCGTTTTCCCCTTAAGTAGGATTTTCTTGGCTACTGGGACATGCTATAGGCATGAGATCAATTTGGTTTGGTACCAACGATTTACTTCCTCCAAACAACATTACATGGTCCTGAAAATGCCCTGCCTTGCCCAGATCTTAAGCCCTGCATTCACTATGAGCACTCAGTGCCAAAGAGTCACCTGTTTTTAAGCTCCACAAATCCTGCTGTTGGCACGATCCGTGAAAACGACACCAGAACATACTGCTTTCTCTTCCCTGCTGCATTCAGCAAGACCACTTAATTATGTTTTAAGATGAAACTGGCCCAACAAGTTGGGCAGCTTGCAGGGCTGCTGGCTGGGGAAGTCCCTCCTTCGTTGCAGCAACAGATGAAGACACCCAGTCCCCAGCTCTGCTGTCGGGAGTGACTTCCCACCCAAAAAACAAGTGGAAAACACTGTCCCCCTCCTGCTTTAGTCCCATTACTACCTACTCTATCTACCCCATCTAATCATTATGACATCTGAGTGCCTTTGTGTGTCAGCTTCCTGTGAAGTAATCACCTAAATCCCCCTTCGAAACAAAGCGGACCCTGCTGAGGAACTCACAATAGGTGCCTTTCACTCGCAGCACAACCTTGGCCTTGGTGGCACTTACAACAAAGCTTCCATATGTGCACCAGTTTGGGCTGATCAGTCAGATCAACACCACACAGGATCAGAGCCCGGGTATTTGTGAGCACGAAGCCAAAGAGCCTCACAAATTTTCCCCACCTTCCTGGCATATTGTGTTTTGTTGTTTTGGTTTTGTTTGTTTGTTTGTTTTAAAATATGCTACAGCACATTAGTCTGCCACAGCCTTTATCCACCTTTGTGGGTCTGTGTGAGGAGATAAAAGAGAAGCACCAACTCCGAGGGGCGATGCGTGTCGGCCGGCCCCACTCTCACAGACTGCCTAGCCATTGTTTGCTCTCCCACCCCGGGCTAGGGCCACGTTTTAATTTTTCCTTTGGCAGAAATCTCAGTTTCTTCCCCTTCCCGGGGCAGGGATCAAGGATGATAATTTCTGTTCTAATAGAAGGCAAGTCGGTGATAACCTTTGGGCATCTGCAGTGAAGAGGTATTTCTGTGGCCCTAGCTGGGATTAGATGCATAATGGATCAATGAAAGATCCCACCGTTTGACAGCTATAGCATCATTCATTAGCGTTAAGATTTGAACCTGAATCAACAATTGAGTTAGAAGATTGAAAGAACTGCCTTCAGTATCTGAAACAGAATAAACTGTGACAGGCCTGCAAAAGTCCCCTGAGGTGTCTCTCTTTCTCTCCCTATACATATATATATAGATCACTTTTGCTGAACATTTAAAATTAGATGAAAGTTGCTGAGCTTCTACATATGAAGCAGAAAAAGCTGAGCTACTTACGAAAAGTGAGAGGGGGAAAAAAAAATGTATTTTTGGTCTGCCTATCAAAGCACTTCAAGAGCATCCTTGACTGTAGGATCCAGGCACTAACTTGTTATTCACTCGCTTAGCATCTCTCTCATAGATAACAATGCAAAAAGAGCTAATAATAAACAGTACACCCCCTCCTTACACACAAACAGGTAAATGCAAACACACACCCGCACACACACACACTTAGGAACCACTTGTAAATGAGCAACATTGATCCTCATCCACTTTTGTTGTCACAAACTAGGGCAAGCTCACTCAGTTAACTGCTTGGTGCACAGAACCCTAAAAAAAATTAAATACCCAGAGGACTTAGACACCAAGTTTTAACTCTCAGCTCTTTACCACTCTTTCATTTCCGGATCAAAGACCCATCCGTTCACTACTAATTTGCTAAGAAATTAAACATGAAAAAAAGAAAGCAATTCCACAACTGGGTGAAGACAGTTGTGGGCAGTTAATGATTAATTAGCATTATAATACAAGACAGCCTGGTTCCACAGCAGAAGCTTGTTTTGATAGCATTTTTTTTCTTCTGTAGAGGAAATCTTCAGGTTGGCACAAAGACTATGTAAAGCATCAGTGCCAAAAACTTCCCTCCTTGTTTCTGAAAGGCAGTGCGTATACGTAACTATAAAGCACTCTGTGGACCAGGTGATCTCAAACCAAGACCCACGTCCTGGAGCCCAACCAGCACAACGGAGATACAGTGGGGTGGCTGCGCTGTCCTCCCTCCACGGGCAGTGTACTTGGGTGCTTGCCCACCTCCCAGCTCCATGTTATTGCCACTGCCCCTCAGCTTGGCAGGTATAAACCCCAAGGCCAGCTCACTTGGACCCGCACCCATCCCTCAGCACAGCTGCAGGCTGATTTGGACCCAGGATGATGTCTAACCTGTTGGGGGGGTCAAGGAAAAAGTTTAACTCCCCACTACAGCTTCAACAACTTTTTTCCTGTGACTGTTTTCTAGCTGCATAAAATCAACATAGCTTTTCCTGTTGGCTTGCAAAAAAAGAAAACAATAAAACAATATCCAAATTTTTAAGAAGTAGCTACCTTTGTAACTAGCAGTAGCATAAACACATTCCAAGACAGCAGCTACTGGGAGGAAGAAGAAAGATCATAACTATGGGAGGAACAGAAACAGCTTTCTATAGCAGATCATAATCAGCACAGAAAGCTATTACAGAAAAGGGATTATTTAAATTATGACAAAAACATTAGAGAAATTTTCCTCTCTGGTTCCTTGTCTGTGTTTATTACCGAGGTCAGTTTTGAAATCACAGTTGCCAGTGAAAGCTCTCTTAATCATTTACTAACTATAAATAATTTAAAACCCCCGAACAGTCAAAAAGCAACGCAGTCAAACCATATCCTGCCTGTTGCCCTGAGATTCCATCTGCTACTGTTGAAACTGAAGTCAGATGCTGATGTTTAATTTGTTGACACTGAGAAAATCAGCAAGAGCAGACATCCCTAACCCGCGGCCCGTCCCTCCCCGGCTGCCTGTGCTATTAGTCTGAGGATAGTTGTTTGTTGCCGACAGGCATCAGGCACCTGCACGCGCCACGCGGTAGCCGCGCGTGACACGACAGCAACTCCCTATCTGTAAGGCTGGCTGGAGCGAGGAAAGGTTTGGAGAACAGTCTTTGCTCTCTCCGGTGAGAGAATCTCTCTGAGTGGCTCTGTAAAGCTCCACGCACACAGACCTGTAACACCAGTCAAGCTATAAATAATAATTACACTAATAGGGTCTTATTTACTGATAGTAAAAAAAGGACATTTGCTTGAAAGTGCTCACCTGGGAGTTGCTGCTGGCTTCCAATACCTGCAGAAGAGATACTGCCCATCAGCATTGACGATGTGGGGCAGGTCCTTGTATGGGATGTTCTGAGGACTCCGCTTTGGCGAACTTTCCTCTGGCATTCTGGAGGAATGACCTGCAAGGTGTTGGAAGAAATGAGACGTACTTTAAAACAGGTGAAGGCAAGCGAGAGGCTGATGGGCTTGGTAGCCACAGACATTGAAGAGAGTCAGCCAGTGAGGCAAGTGAGCACCACTGATGGGAGGTCTCCCTCCAAAGCGTCAGCCAAAAAGCCCCCCAAATCTTTAAAACAGAAATGTAGCATTTTGTGTTCAGAAAAGGCTCACGTTTTGTGTGAGGGCACTGGAGGGGGGGAAGGAGGGAAGATCAAGCCACCATCACTAGTTCATTACAGCTTTCTCTCCCCCGCTTCTCCCATCTGTGTTTATTTTGCATCATTTTGTGAAACGGATCCTAAAAAGAATATTTTAGCTGCAATCAAGTGCAGATTGTGCAGCAACAGCTACAGACAGCTGCATAAAAGATTTATCTCTGCCTTAACATCTCCAAAGCGCAGCAGAGGGGACGCAGCAGAGGTATCTGCCACCGTGCCAGCATTACGATCTTCCCTGACATCTCAGCCAGGAGGGTGGCGGCGGCGGGGAACGAAACATTTCCAGGAGAATTTGCAACAAACCTGTTTTCATCCTGTGCAAGGGTTTGCATTCTAGTGAGGAGCCGGCATCGCAAGTCAAACGCAAGCAGAGAAGGCTTTTGGCATCCCGCTGCGGAGATGCATTCACACTCCGCCAACCCCGCAGCCCCCACGGTCCCCGGCGGGGGCCCGGCGGGTCCCCCCCGGGC